TCTTTAAACAAGATACCCACCTGTGGGGGGAATTATGCCAGCAACCCATACCCTTCTGGCAAATTCTTTCACTGAATTAAAGAACCAGCGTCCTCCTATTTTATTATAAGCCCCTTCCAGGATATCGTTGCCCACTCCAGGAAACCCACCAGTTCTATGGCCTCCTAACTGGCTTGGCACCAATGGAACTTGAGGTTTAAGGAGCTCCTGGGAATGAAAACTAGAGGATGACCAGTTACAAAAAACTCAAGTGTCTCTGTGTTCGAATGGATGCCAGGGAACCTAGCACCAAAGGGAAGCATATTGCCAGGGCAATTTCCACATGGCTCTGGGCAGGTTCTGGGACCATTAGGTACACTGTTTTTACTTTAAGTCATGATCTTTGATAAACAGCATGGCTTTCCACCAAAAGTGACTGGCAAATAGTTAATGACAGAAAGTGCGTTTCTTTTAAAAAGAAAAAGGAGGAAGGAAGGGAGGGGAGGAGAGGGGAGGGGAGGGGAAGGGAAGGGGAAGGAGAAGGGAGGGGAGGGGAGGGGAGGGAAGCAGGGCAGGTGGCATAAACAAAGCAATGCTCACTGACGAAGGCTGGACATTAGAGCAGAGATGCTTAACTGGTAAAGTCCATACGAGTACTCCTAACTGAAAAATCCTTCTGGTCCAGGTGTTTTGGATAAGGGATGCTCCATCTGTATATGCATGTCCTTAATCCACAGACTAAAGGCCTACTTCTCCTTCCCTTTGGGGGTACTAGATGAGAACACATATATGTTCCTACAGCTTAGCTGACCAAGCACTCCAACCAGAAAGGGGCAGTCCTGGAATGTGAGATTATCAGATTTTTCGGTGAAGTAGACAAATCTAAGTGCTGTTATCTAAGGTACGTAACAAAGACCAAGAAAAGATAAGTAATTTCCCCCAAGGACACACAACTAGCTTCCGTGAGCATTAGGACCAAGGTGGGCAACAATGCTGATGCCAGTTACCCTGCCAGGTATTAATTACTTTATTTGTCATCACAGATCAGATCAGCAATGGTTGTATTGTAACAGAAATTATGGCTTGTCTAAGGTTTCTATGATTCACCATTTCCGAGGAACCGTCTCACTCTTTGGTCTCGCTTCGAATAATGAGAGCTGTAAATTACACGAGCAGAAGTTAGAAGACTCATTTACTTAATGGTATATTCTGGAGAATTTTCTTGAAGGTGCTTTCGTCAACCTTTTACCCTTTGCTCTTTGTTGAGTGCTTTGAGGACTGTAACGCGTGTTTAAGGAATGAGAGTGTTTTTTCTTACGTTTTACTTAGTTGTGGCTAAGTTATCTCGTTGAGGTCTGAATCTAAATCTATTCTTATTGGCAACTAGAGCTCTTTTTCAAATCGTAGTATAGTTCATGCCAGTAGGAAATCACCATATCAGATTTTCGAGAGGATAAAACATGAAGAAGACTGAAAGTCTGTAAACAACCCTGTTACCCCCTCAAAAATTAACAGTTTCCCCATAAAAACTACATTGAGAGGACCTGAGTTAAAAAAAACCACATATTTTGAAAGTAATATATGATCACTAGTCTGTGGTTGAACTTTCCTTTAATTACAAGGGACTGAGAACGTATCGGTGAATGATCATAGCTCAATAAGCAGCTACTTACGATTACTGGCATTAAGATAGTGGCTTCTCACACAGGATAGATAATTCCAGATGGCTTGCATACCTACTGCAAATCTATTTTTCCCATCCACATAACCATGCCAAAATCAACAGTCGAACTTTGCATAACATCAAATGTTTGTAACCCAAGCACAGACCATGGTATTCCTACTTATCTGTGTATTCCGGGCATTACAGAAGAGAAATGACACTGGAATATCTAGCTAATAGAACCAATAACAAGCTACGCAATAAGCAGATAATATAATCACGTATGAGGAGTTTCTTTGCCTCCTACATCGTACTTTGCATAGTTTTGTGAAAAGTGAAGAACATAAGATAAATATATTAGACGGAAACACACCTACCATTTGGCACAATTATATCTTATTTCATTACTGGGAATACATTTCCTTTCTTCTACCTTGGATAACAGACATAGAAAACTTATTTTTTATATAGCCTAAAATACAAGATTTTCACCGAAGCTACAAATTGTTTATTATTGTTCATGTTCATCAGAGAACATGTTGCTAGCTTCTAGAAATTATAATTCACCACAATTCTAAGAGTCATGGAGAGAAAGAGTTATATTTTTACATATGCTGAGTTATCAGACTTGGAATCTCACGGACTGTCGAGACATATTCTCTACATTTCATGTACTTCTATGGCCACTGGAGCTGTATATATATATTATATCAGAAGTTGGTGCTGTGTTATCCCTCTCGATATATTCTTGGGCCAATATGAGGATAAATTACTTTCAGAAAACGCCTTCCTGCTGTATTAGTATATGATATCGAAATAATATAGTATATGTGAGGTCTGACCAACTGGGCCACTCGTTAGAGATGTCATCGTGACCCTACTATCTAATAGGAAATGCTAGACTGATTTCTCTCTATATAGCGAAGTAATGACGTGGTTATTACAACCCAGCAATTTTTGATATATAGAGAGTATTGCATATGCTATCGAGAGTAAGCACATGGTGCTTACGGGCGGAAACAGGCAAATATACTCAAGCATTAAATAAACGCATGGGGTTCTGCATTATTTATGTTTAGAATACCTGCCATGCGGTGAAAAACAGAGGAAGTCTGCTTCCATCCTAAGGCTGTCACGATGGAAATGCCCACCGGTCAGCTCACGGGGACCTGGCCGCCTCGATGGCTCAGTTCCGGAAGCCGCTTTTCTGCTCCTGTTAAATGCACCCTGGAAATTGGCAGGTATTAAACAGTGAGCCCTGCCGCCCTAGTGCTCTTCCGCACATCTGCCTGGGCTCGTCGAATCCCAAGCAGTGATTCTTGGTCAATCTTCTGTTCATAACGTCTCCCAGTCACACGCGTACCCACACAGTCTTCTCTGGACAGGGTTGACTACCGCTACCTATCCCAATCCCCAGGAACCTTTAGTGAGGCCAACACCTTAGGAAGCTGTGGCATCCCACGCCCTGCACAGCTGCCTCAGACAACCAAGCCTGAAAACCAAACTCAGAGAGACTTCACATGCACGATTATCGGTGCCTGAAGTAATCTAAAATTCTGATACTGCTTCCACCCTAGCCAAAGGATGCCATCACCAACACAGAGGTCCACTGTTCCACACACCCTCAACAGCCCTGGTGTTGTTCTTTAAAAGACCAACTGCATTTGCAAACAAAAATGATCTCATTCCCACTGGTTAAGGACTGGAGGCGTGGCTCAAGTGGTGGAGCACCTGCTTTGCAAGCGTGAAGCTCTGAGTTCAAACCCCAACCCCATCAAAAAAAAAAATCATTTCCACTGCTTAGGACTGGAGGAGTGGTTCAATGGTGGAGCACCCAAGTGTGAAGCCCTGAGTTCAAATCCCAGTTCCACCCCCCAAAAAATTCATTTCC